TGACAGTAGCAACGCCGGCGACAACGCAGCGACGACGGCGCGGCCAGCGACGGCGCGGATGCTGATCGCGCCGACGACGATGACGGCGCCCTCGCGTCGGCGATGAAGGTTTGGAAAGAGTTCGACATGCGCGCGCGGCCGACGCGCGCGAGTGGCCCGCGCGGCACCATAACACGGATCGCGGCCCCCCCCCGCCCCCCCTCAGCACGCGCGCAAGGGCGCGCGAACGATGCTGGCATGCGACGCCTGAGGCCCCTTTGGCAGAATACCATGAAAATGTTGAGAACGGTTTCCATCAGAATTCGCGAGGGCGCGAGCGCGCGCTTTTCTGAAACTGATGTTGCGAAATCATATATTGTTGTATGATTATTGGACACTCGGTTTTGCAATTGCCACAACCCCCAAGGTTTTGAACGGATTTCGGCACGCGCACGCGACGACGCGCGCACGCACTTCGCCCCATTCTTTGCAAAGGATTCTCGCGACGGCACGCGCGCGAGGGCGTTCGAACGATCTCGACATGCGCGCGAATGTTGAAGGACCGATGGTTCTTCACAAAATCCGCAAGAGCGCGCGCGCAAGCTATTTTTGAGACTCGGCGCAGCAAAACCATAAGTTTTATATATATATATATATATATATATATATATATTATATATATTAATATATATCTTATTTTTATATATATACATATAAAAAAAAAAAAAAAAAAAAAAAAAAAAAAAAAAAAAAAAAAAAAAAAAAAAAAAAAAAAAAAAACAAAAAAAAAAAAAAAAAAAAAAAAAAAAAAAAAAAAAACGTTTCTTGGATAATCGATGTTGAAACCTTTATGAAGCCGAAGGTTTCTGAAGGATTTCGGCACGCGCGCGCGACGACGCGCGCGCGAGTACTTCGCCCCATTTTTGCACAGTGCTCCTAGAAACTGATGGTTTTTGATAAATGAGCGCGCGCGCAGTATATTCGTTGCTGAGGATGGCGGGGGGCGCCGATGCTGGCCCCCCTGGGATGGCGTACACTCACGTTTAGAATGGGCGTTGTGACAGAATCATATGCAAATTGCAACACGAAAAGGGGGCGGATAATTCTGGGGGGGGTAGAGTCTATTCTATCTTAAGAAAGGAGAATCTACGCGGCGCGACCTATGCAGTGCAACCTGTGCGGCGCGGTGCAATCTACGCGGCGCGATCCACCCATGCCCAACTCGAAGTTGCCCACTCCACTGCTCCCGCAAACACCCCGCCCGCCCGCCCGCAACTTGGTTTGCCAACCCCGCGCAGCGGCGATTGCGATGAGTGCTCGGCGCTGGCCGGTGCATCTCTGCGGCCGCGACGGCCCGCGCACGCGCGCGCGCGGCGGCCAGCTACTTTGGCGCGACCGACGCGGCCGCGGCGGCGCTGACCGCCGGGCACGCCCAAGTGGGCACTTCACTGCGAGTCGGCGTCGTGGGCGGCGCGGCATCACGGCAACGTCGACAACGATAGACGAGGCGACGATAGCAGCGACGCTGGCCACGATGTCGACGACGACGACGACAGCGCGGCCAGCGCGGGCGCCGACGCTGATCGCGCCGACGACGGCGACGGCGCCCTCGCGTCGGCGACGAAGGTCTCGAAAAAGAGTTCGACGCGCGCGCGCGGCCGCCGCGCGAGAGTGGCCCTCGAGGCACAGCGCGACGCGGATCGCGCCCCCCAGCGCCCTCGCAAGGGCGCGCGAATGATGCCGGCATGCGGCGCGAGAGGCCCGTTCGGCAGAATTCCATAAACACGTTGAAAGCCGTTAGTTTTCTCGGGAATTCGCAAGCACGCGAGCGCGCGCTTTACTGAAAACCGATGTTGTGACACCATTTGTTTTCGCACGTTTGTCGGGCACTCGATTTCGAAACCGTCGCGACGCCGAAGGTTTCTGATTGGTGTCGGCACGCGTGCGCGACGACGCGCGCGCGTGCACTTCGTAATTTTTTGGCGAGGGATTCTCGCGACGGCACGCCCGCAAGGGCGCTCGAAAGTTTTCGACGCGCGCGCGCGAGGCCCGCTTGGAAGCATTTTCTGAAATCCTGGAAAACCCATGGTTTTCTGAAGAACTCAAAAGAACGCGCGCGCAAGCTCTTTCTGAAAGTCCGCGTTGCGAGCCCCGCGTTGTCATGTTTGTTTGGGCACTCGATTTTGAAATCCTCGCGGGTTCGAAGGTTTTTGAAGGATTCCAGCATTCGCGCGCGACGACGCGCGCGCGCACTGCGCCCCATGTTTTGCAACGGTGTCATGATCACTTGAGATTTGTCATAAACGAATGCGCGCGCATAGTATTTGCTGCAGAGGATGGCAGGGGGTGCCTACACTGGCCCCCTGGGACGGTGTAACCTCGTATTTTGGATGGGCGATGGGGCAGAATCACATACAAATTGCAATGCGCATAGATTAGCGCATAATCCCAGGGGGCAGGGGGGTAGGGTCCTTTTTAAAAACTCGAATTAATCCCAGTTCAAAGCGAGTTGTCAACTCCACTATCAAGCCATACACCCGCCCGCAACTTGGTCTACAAAACACACGCAATGACGATTGAGATGAGCGCTCGACGTTGGCTGGTCCGTCTCTGCGGCCGCGCCAACCGCAGCGCGCGCGGCGGCCACCGAGTTCGGCGCGATCGACGCGGCCGCGGCGGAACTGACCGCCGGGCATATCCCAGCGGGCACTCCAGTGCGAGCCGGCGACTTGGGCGGGCGCGGTACCATGGCAACGTCGACAGCGGTAGACGCGGCGATGATAGCGGCGATGCTGGCGGCGACGATGACGACGACGACGACGACGACGGCGACGACGACGACGACGGCGCGGCCAGCGCGGGCGCCGATGCTGATCGCGCCGACGACGATGACGGCGCCCTCGCGTCGGCGATGAAGGTTTTGGACAGAGTTCGACATGCGCGGGCGGCCGACGCGCGAGAGTGGCCGGCGCCAGAGGCCCACTTGGCAGAATTCCATGATAATGTTGACAGACCTAAGGTTGTCTTAAGAAGGAAGATCGCGAACGCACGCTTTTTTGAAAACTGATGTTGCGAAATCATGTGTTTTGCATGTGCGTTGGACACTCGGTTTCGAAATCGCTGCGACACCGAAGGTTTTTTTGACAGATGTCGGCACGCGCGCGCGACGACGCGCGCGCACTTCGTTTTTCTTTTGCAGAAAGGATTCTCGCGACGGCACGCGCGCAAGGGAAACTGGTTTTTGTAAATCCCAAAGGCGCGCGCAAGCGTTTTTTTTCAAACTCCGCCTTGCGAAACCCTGTGTTTTACTGGTTTCTGGGATACTCGGTTTTGAAGTCGCGCGCGACGACGCCCGCGTGCGCATTTCGTCCCATGTGTTGCCATGTTCTTGTGGGGTGGGTTCGAAAACTGGTGATTTTTCATTAATGAATGCGCGCACGTAATATTCTTCGCAGGGCATGGCGAGGGGGGCGATACCGGCCAGCTCGGTTGGGATGGTGGCAAATTAACATTTAGGATGGACGATGGAGCAGAATCATATGTAAACTGCACATCCCCAGGGCGTACCAATAAGACCAGTCTCGGGAGGGTGGTGGATGCATTCTCTTTTTAGAAGGAGAATTTATGCGACGGCGACGGCGGCGACGGGCGACACCGCCCGCAAAAACCGCCACTCGCCCCGAGCAGCGGCGACAGCGACGGCGACGGCGACGGCGGCGACGGGCGGCACCACCCGCAAAAGCCGCCACTCACCCCGAAATGATTAAACCAACTAAAAACCCTAAGTGCAAGCACTGCACGGGGAATGTATACGTGTATGCATATGCCGTGCGCGCTCTCTCCCTATCTCTCTCTCTCTCTCTCTCTCTCTTTCTCTTTTGTTGTTTCTCTCTCTCTCTCTCTCTTTCTCTCTTTCTCTTTCTCTTTTTGTTGTTTCTCTCTCTCTCTGTAAATATATATATATATATATATATATATATATATATATGTGTATATGTGTGTGTGAACGCACATGTATGGAGAAAGTCTTCTACTCCCTCCCCCCTCTCTCCTCCCCCCTCCTCCTCCCTGTGGCCTGAAGGCAACCGAACGCCGATACCGGGTCAGAGTAGCAGGGGGGAACGCGAGGAAGCAGACGGGGGGACGGGGAGGCGGAGGCGAGGAGGGCTGTCGAAGAGGGGGACAGGTCGTCATCGAGGGGCGGGGGAGGGGCGGTCTTCGCCGAGGGGCGGGGGGCGGGAACGCCGTCGGCCGTCGCCGAGGGGACGCCGAGCGCTGGCGGCAGCACGGGGCACGTCGGGCGCACACCGCCATGGCGGCCGAAGGGGCCGCCCGGGGATCCCGCCGCCGCCGGCGCTGCCGCCCACGCCGCTGCCGGCGGCCGCTCGGCGCTCGCCGTCGGCGACGCAGCCAGCGGCCGTCGGCGAGCAGCGCGGGGGCGCAGCGGGTAGGCGCGGCTGGCGCGTGCTGCTGCGGGCACCGCCGCCGGGGCAGCTCCACGGTGGCGCAGCCGTCGCCCCCACGGCTGCCGCGGCGGGCCCTGGCGCGCCCAGGGTGGAGCCGCGTGCCGAGCTGCTGCCAGCCGCTGCGGATGGCCCCCGAACCCGCTGCGCGGGGGCCACGCCGCGGCCCGGGAGCGGACGTGCACCATGGTGGCATGTCTCTCCTCCTCTTTCCCCCCTCTCCCTTCGGCCTCCTCCCCCATGGCCCTCTCCTCCTCCTCCTCCTCCTCCTCCTCCTCCTCCTCCTCCTCCTCCTCCTCCTCCTCCTCCTCCTCCCCAGCCATGGCCCCCTCTTGCCCCCTCCATATGCCCCCCTCGTCCCTCACGGGGAGACAACGCCGACGACGACATCGACCACGACGGTAACAACAACGACGATGACGACGACGCCGACGCCGACGACGACGACGACGACAACGACGACGACGACGACGACAGCGACGGCGGCGGCGGCGGCGGCGACGACGACGACGGTGGCGGCGTCGATGACAACGACGACGACAAAGACCCGCGGCTGGCCTCGCGCTCGATGCACTCAAATTCGACACTGGGGTTCAGATTCTTGACGGCCACCTGTTGCGGAGGGTTTGGCCAGCATCCACGTGGCGCACTCCTGCAGCACAACTTGAGCTTCCTCTTCTTCCTTCTCCTCCTCCCCCTCCTCCTCCACCTCCTCCTCCCCCTCCCTCATCCTCCTCCTCCTCTCTCCCTCCTCCCCCTCCTCCTCCTCCCTCCTCCTCCTCCTAGAACTCTTATTATTATTCGGATTTCTCCTCCTCCTCCTCCTCCTCCTTCCTCTCCTCCTCCCCCTGACATTATCATGATCACCATCATCATCATCATCATCATCATCATCATCATCATCATCATCATCATCATCATCATCATCATCATCATCATCATCATCATCATCATCATCATCATCATCATCATCATCATTATCATTATCATCAGCAGCAGCAGCAGCATCATCTGCAGCAGCATCATCGGCATCATCAGCATCATCATCGGCATCGTCGCCGCCATCATCACCACCGTCATCACTATCATCACCATCATCATCAACATCATCAGCATCATCAGCAGCAGCATCATCAGCATTATCAGCATCATCAGCATCATCAGCGCCACCATCATCACCACCATCACCACCATCACCTTCATCATCATCACCACCACCATCATTATCAGCATAATCGTCATCACCATCATCATCATCATCATCATCATCATCATCATCATCATCATCATCATCATCATCATCATCATCATCATCATCATCATCATTTTCATGCTCATTATCATCATCATAATCATCATCGTCAGCAGTAGCAGCATCATCCTCGTCGTCGTCGTCCGCATCCCCACCCGCATCATCATCCTCATCCTCATGCTCATCCTCATCCTGACTATCAGCACCATCATCATCATCATCATCATCATCATCATCCTCATCATCATCAGCAGCATCATCATCATTATCATGATCATCAACAGCAGCATCATCATCGTCGTCATCCTCATGAACATCGTCATAAGCACCATCAGCATCAGCAGCATCATCATCAGCATCGGCATCAGCATCAGCATCTTCATCATCGTCATCAGCAGCATCATCATCAGCATCAGCATCAGCATCATCATCATCAGCATCATTATCATCGTCATCATCTACAGTGTCGTCGTCGCCAGTATCATCATGGTCAGCATCGTCATCACCACCACCACCATCATCAGCAGCAGCAGAATCGTCGTCATCCTCATCAAAATTAGCCCAAATCATCATCACACGCAGCATCATCAGAATCATCATCAACATCATCATCAGCATCAGCATCATAATCGATATCATCAGCAGTATCGTCATCGTCATCATCATCAGCATCATCAGCGTCATCATCGTCAGCATCACCAGCATTATCATCCTCAGCAGCAGCATCATCATAGTCAGCATCATCATCATCAGCAGCAGCTGCATCATCAAAAACAGCAGCGGCATCATGACCATAATCGTCACCATCATCATCCTCGTCAGCATCCCCATCAGCATCAGCAGCAGCCTCATACCATCCTCATCATCATCTGCAGCATCAGCATCAGCGTCAGCATCATCAGCATCATCAGCAGCATCATCAGCATCATCAGCATAATCAACATGAACATGATAATCATTAGCATCATCTGCATCAGCATCATCACCATCATCCTCATTATCACCCTCATCCTCATCATCATCAGCATCAGCAGCATCATCTACTCCTCCTCTTCCCCCTCCCCTTCAGCCTCCTACATGCTGATGCTCCTCATCGGCATCATCAGCAGCAGCAGCATCACCACCATCATCCTAATCATCACCATCGACAACACCATCACGATCGTCGACGTCATCATCCTCATCATCACCACCGCAATCATCATCGTCACCACCACCACCACATCATCATCATCATCTCATCATCGTCCTTCCCCTCCCTCACCCCTCCTCACCCCCCTCCCCAAGGGATGAAAGAGGGAGGAGAACGAGAACGCGGACGAAGAGAAGAAGCATGGAGCGCAGGAGAGGGAGGAGTGAGAAGAGAAGGAGGAGGAGGAGGAGAAGAAGAGGAAGGAGGAGGAGGAGGAGGAGGAGGAGGAGTGAGGAGGAGGAGTGAGGAGGAGTGAGGAGGAGGAGGAGGAGGAGGAGGAGGAGGACGAGGAGGAGGAGGAGGAGGAGGAGGAGGAGGGAGGAGGACCACCCTGCTAGGGCCGCCCGTCAGCGAGGCCCAGATCCTGGCCGCTCTGCCGCGGGTCAGCGTTGTTTTCCTGAGGCTGCTGGGAGGCGAAGGCCGCGGGGCCCTCCATTGAGAATAGAACCTGGCTGCGCTTCTGGGTGCGCACGACGAGGAGGAGGAGGAGGAGGAAGAGGAGGAGGAGGAGGAGAAGGAGGAGGAGGAGGAGGAGGAGGAGGACGAGGAGGAGGAGGAGGAGGAGGAGGAGGAGGAGGAGGAGGAGGAGGAGGAGGAGGAGGAGGAGGAGGAAGAGGAGGCGCCCCAAACATCCGATGCCCTAATTTTGTACACCACGGGGTCCCCAGAAGCCCCGATCCTTTACGCAAGGCCAGTTTTTCATCCCGAGTCGCTGCCTGAGGAGGCGGCGAAGGCACACTAGGGCGCGAAGAAGCCAAGGGGACTGGCGGGCCCACCAGCTGCCCGTCGGTAGCGACCATGCGAACCACCGTGGCGTAGGCGCCCTGCCCGAAGATGTCGCCGGGCGCGTGCTCGAAGGCCACCTCCAGGAGGGGAAAAAAAACATGTTTTTCTCCGCCCCTCCCTCCCTCCCTCCCTCCTCCCTCCCTCCTCCAGCTCCAGCTCCAGCTCCAGCTCCACCTCCTCCTCCGCAGCCGTTTTGGCTCACGATGCTTGCACGTGGGGGCTCTGCGCCTCCGCGCCTGGCTGGAAGCTGCTCTTCCGCAGCAGCGCCGGGACCTGTTCGGTCCAGCACCGGCGCCTGCGCCAGCTGGGTCCGCCCCAGCTCGGCGCCTGCTCCCACTGCCCGCGGGTGGGCAGCCCATTTCACGAGCGTGCCGCTCACAGTCTGTCTCCGCGCAGCACGGGTGGCTCTGGTGCCGGCCTGGCGAGCGGAAGAGGCGCCCGTGGGTCCAAAAAGCCGGGCGCCGCCGTCGCTGGGGAGGCGGAGTGCCTGCAGGGGGGAGGACCCGCTGAAGGTTTGGGAGAAATGGGACCGTTGGTTCGATGGCAGCTGGAAGACAGCTGCTGGTGCCAAAGGACACGTTCTCTGCCATCACTGCGGGTGCCGCGCAAACCCAAGGGGCGCGATGCGCTGCAGGCACGGTGGCGAACGGATCGGTGCGCACCCTCTGCCATCAGCCGCCCAGCTCGAAGCAGAAGCTGCCGCCGCCTCCCAGGCGGACCCGCGCAGAGGCGGCAAGGCGGGCAGGAAGTGTAGGAGAGGAGGAGAAGAAGATGCTGCGCTGTGGAAGGGCCTCATGCCAGGTGCCGCTTCAGCGCTTCCCCCAGGGCCGTCTTCCCGACCTCACCCAAGCCAGGGCGCTCGGGCTCCAGCGGCTGGCTCGAGAGGCGGGCGGTCAGCAGGGGGCAGCGCGCGATGGAGCCCTTGCGAAGCGTGCGACCCCGCCTCCCGAGCCCACGGGTTGTGTTGCTCCCATCGTACTTCAGGACCACATCCCAGAACTCATTTCGAGCACCCGGAAAAGTGTCGACAGAGTGTCGAGATAGTGTCGAGACAGTGTCGGACGAGTGTCTCCCAGGGCCCGACACGTGAGAACCTTGAGTTTGGGGGTACTTTGCTGGCGCTCGACATTCTTTCTGGCGATCAAGGCTAAAGTAGGTTGGAAACATCATAACCCACGGGGCGTCAACGCCTCGTCGAGGCGGAACAGGCGCAGGAGAGACTCGAGGAGCGCCTCAGTGCGGAGCTCGAGAAGCTCGAGCGCTGGAGGCGGGCAACAGAAGACCTGGTAGAGGGAAGAGAACTATGCACATGCACCGATTCTGGCCAGGCCCATCCTGAGCCCAGGATCGGTGCATACGCCCTCCTACCTTGGCCAGGAAGGCATATGCACCGATCCTGGGTCAAGGATGGGCCTTGCCAGGATCAGTGCATGTGCATAGTTCTCTTCGCCCGACCTGGCCTCTGCGGTCAAGGCGTTGCAGGGCGCGTTGGAGGCAGCCGACGCCGAAGTGGCCGCCGCGCCGGCAGAGCTCCAGAGCCAGCATGGAGCTCGCGCCGACAAGCCCGAGGGCAAAGCAGCTCAACTACTTATCAGTCTGCGGAAGCCGGTCGAGGGAGAGATGGAGCTGGCTTCGGTCATCTCTATTGGCGGTTTCATTGATGCGGAGGCTGCCAAAGGGGACTACGACGTCTTGGCCGAAAACGTCAAAGAACTTGAGGAACGGAAGAACATCACGGCGCGCCACATGCAGGAGGTGCTCACCACTGTCTTTCGCCAGGCGGTGGAGAAGGGTAGCGAGCGCCAGGAGCAGCACATGGAGCACCTCAAGCGGCTCCATGGGACGCGTCGTCGCGTGGAAGGCGGAGCTGAAGCAGCAGGAGCTCGTGGAGAGGTGGCGGCCGCTGGGGCCTCGGCAGCAGCGGAACCACCCGCTCGGGAGCCTGCCGAAGCAGCCGCTGGCGCAGCGCCCGCGGCTCAGGTGGGCAGGCAGGACATTCGGGCTCGTGCTGCTGATGATGCTGGCGTCCAGGCTGCTGCTCAGTCGCAGCTTTAGCACGGCGGCAACATTGGGCTGGGCGCTCAGGGATTCGGACCCTGGTCGCCACCGCGCTCAGCCCGCATCGTCGGTGGCTTTAGGTTCCTGGGCATCGCCGAGGGCGACTCCAGGTGCTGGGACAACTCACCCGCCTTCGTCGATTGCCAAGTGTGGCTTGTCGGAGCCGTCCGCTTCGGTTGTGCCGTCAGCGCCGATGTCGGCAAGCCCCTCTACGTCGGTGGCGCCGTCGGCTTCATTTTCCAGGACGGCGGTGTGCTCGCAGGATGGCGTTAGATCGCAAATTTCCTCGCCAGTCATCACGTGCGGTGCCTTGGGTTAGGTCGCCCATGCTGTTGCTGAGAACACAGATCCCGAGCTAGTCCCAAGGAACGCTGACTCGGGTTCGGTTGCTGCAGGCTTTGCTGACACGATGGGCCGCGCTGTGGACGGCTCGACAGGGCGCGAGGACGGCGGCGATGTCGGGCCGTCTCACCCTGATCCAGTATCTAGTGAAGGCATGCTGGGATCCCTTCTTCAGCGCGAGCTCCTGTTCGATCAGGCCGCGCGGGTGTCATCCGACAACCTGAGTGGCACGGTGAAGGGTGAGATGCTCGTGGAGGCGCCGCTGGCGGACGAGAGGGCGGTTGCGGACGGCGCCGAGTGGCAGGTGACCGAGGGCCGCGGCGCGCTGACTTCGTCTGCGCCGTCAGCGCTGTCGTCGGCAAGCCCCCCCACGTCGACAGCGCCGTCGGCTTTAATTCCCAGGACGGCGGCGTGCTCACAGGATGCCCGTCGGGCCCAGAGCGCATGACAGGCTGGCGGTGACGAACACACAACCCCACGCAGAACTGAGGATGTGGTCGATGGCACCTCGGGGGAGTGGTTGGACGCCTCCCTGGGCAACCAGAGCGAGGTCGCGTTGCCGCGCGGCGGGGTTGCAGGGCCCGGTGGGGGCATCGTCAAAAGGCGGAAAAGGGAGCTCACCCGCCTTCGTCGATTGCCAAGTGTGGATCGTCGGAGCCGTCTACTTCGGTTGGGCCGTCAGCGTCGACGTCGGCAAGCCCCGCTGCGTCGGCGGCGCCGTCGGCGTCGGTTTCCAGGGCGGCGGCGCGTTCGAAGCAGGTGATTTCGCTCCAAGAGTGTCTTCCACATGATGAGTCAGATCAAAAGGGCTCTATCAAGGTGGGCGCCTTGAACGCCAACACTTGGCCCAGAGCTCAGGCCACCATGCCGTGGATCGAGGAGGAATGCGCGATGCCTCATGTGCTCTGCATCCAGAAGACGGTGCCGGACAGCTCTTCGGAAGCGGGGGCGCATCAGCGGACATGGACTTGCTCCAGGAAGCTGTCTTCCGGTTCTGCTAACTGCACAGGATCTTCGGCCAGTTCTTTGTCAGCAGGAGTTGGGCTTCCCACGGCCATTGGCATCGAAGTGGCAAAGCCCCAGATCCCTAAGAAATGGCAGCATCGAATCCTACTCAGACTCATGACCCTCGTTTAGCACTCGCGGTTGATCGTGGCCTCTAGTCATGGAGTGGGCTCGATTGGGCCCATGGGCGAGAACTTAGAGCTGCTGGAGTTGCTCAGCGCATTCCTGGGAGCGAAGCGCTTCCCGTTCCTGCTGGGGGGCGACTGGAACCTAGAGCCAGAGGAGATCTTGGAGTTGGGCTGGCTTGACCTGGCCGGCGCTTCGATCTTCGCAGCAGGTCTGCCAACTTGCAATGGGAAGGAGTACGACTACTTCGTCGGCTCCCAGGCCCTGGACGCCTTCCCCATGACAGCGGAGGCCAGGGTTGACGCGCCAATCTCGCCACACTGCTGTATGGAGATCACGTTGCAAAGGTTTGCGCGAGGAGCCATCCACCCGGGTGGAGTCGCCTCCTGGGGCCTGTCCGTTAGGCGACGGGAGGAAAAGGCGAAGGCCTGGGAGAAGGCAAAGAGCAGAAGGACCACGGACTCGACGCAGGCCTCGGCTCCGCCAACAGTGCTTGTCAAGGCCGAGCGGGAGCTGGAGGCGCCCATCACCTCGATCGAAGGGGCAGCGGCGTCGTGGTTCTCAGCTGCTGAGCAGTACCTGGTGGAGTTGTTCGAGATACCGCGCTCGGACAGGAGGCTCTACCTGGGCAGGTCCAAGGGCATCGCGTTGAAGAAGAAGCAGAAGCGTCTGGTGGACTGCGCCAAGTCCATACTCGAGAGGCGCGACGAGACGGACACTCGAGCGTGGATCAGCGCGCTTCGGTCATGGGAAGACCTCCGTACGTCGTCGGCGGCGCCTGCTGGAACGAAAGCAGGGAGGCCCGAACACCGTCAGAGATGTGGAGATGTGAGCGGCAACTCCTGGCTTTCCAGCTTCATGAGGCTATCTCGGAGTCGCCCACTTTGAAGGAAAAGCAGATACAGAAGTGGGTGACCTTGGCCCAGCGAGGTCGTCAGTAAGCAGCCTGGTTTCGCACTGTCCTCGCTGAGGTGGGGGGGCCCGCCGAGTGCAGGATTCGCGGGCCAGGGGCAAAGCGTGCCGAGAGTTTGGAGAGTCGGCTGCCCAAGGTTCGGGGAAGCTTGCTCGTGCGATCGCTAGGCCCAAGCGTCTGGAAGAGGCTCCGACCCAAGCTCGTGGACAGGCCCATAGAATTATAAGTGCCGCTGCCATCACTGCTGTGCTGGAAGAGCGGATCTCTGCTGAGCGCGAGAAAGAGGTTGCTCCCCCAGACTGGAAGTACCCCTGGACCCTTGACCCGATCTCGGAGGACCAGATTTCTCAAGTCTGCCGTGCGTTTGGGCCTTCCACATGCCTGGGATGGGACAATTTCCACATGCGTCTCGCGAAGCTCCTAGATGGGGACTTCATCTCAAGATTGGCGGCGATATTCAGCGAGTGGGAACTGAACCCCAAGTGCGAGAATAGATGGGCCACCATCAATATGTTCTTACCCAAGCCAGAGGGCGGCACGCGCCCGATCGGATTGCTGCGCGTCTGGGCAAAAAGTTGGAGCCGCTGCAGGCGGCAATCCGTCAAAAGAGGGGAGCCCACGGTTGATACCAAGCTCTGCTGGGGAAGGGATGCGGCCACCAGTTGCGACGAGGCGGCCTGTCTCCACGACATGTTAGCCCGTCATGCCAGAAGGTCCGGACTTGCAGCGATAACAGTGTTCTACGATACCCAGAAGTTCTACGAGAACGTCAGCCACCAGGAGTTGAGAGAGGCCGCGGGCCATTTCGCGTTCGACGGCGCCCTCCTGAAGGCCTTCTACTGCCTCCATAGAGCGCCAAGGAGGGCCAGGTGGACGGGGGGCACCAGCCGCGTCAGCCATCCCAATGGGACCAACTGTTGCAGGTTGCAGTGCAGGGACAGGGGTGGCGAAGCTGATGACTCTATGCCTGCTGAAGCGGTTGTCTGCTGAGACCCCTCCGTGTCGAGCTCTCAATGTGGTGGATGACTTGACTGCTCACACCATCGGAGGCCCCAAGACGGTGGTCGACAACACGATAGCCAGCTTCCCGATGGCGACCTTGGAGCTGGAGTCCAGGAAGTTGCCAATTGACTGGGGGAAGACCAAGTTCATGCTGTCCGACCATGACCTACTGCCGCGGCTTGCACAGGACCAGCGGTGGAAGCTGAGCGAAGATCGGCTGGCCATCTCCCATCGCGACCTCGGCGGCAACTCGCTCGACGGCAGAGCCAGACAGGTGAGTGTGCAGTCGTCGAGACTTGAGGCAGCCAGACGCACTGGCGTGGCACTGCGCCAGTCTGGTCATAATGAAACACATAGGAGAGAGCATCGAGTAGGAGCCCCTGCGAAAACAGCGTGAGGATCCCACATTCTAGGTATTCCGCCGACCACTCTCAATAAATTTAGGGTCCAAGCCGCGAGGTCCTGGGGCCCCCTCCTCCCTGGGACTTCCCTGGGCTTCAAATTCCTCTCCTCCTCCCGCCTCTGCCGCTTTTGGTGACGGTGGCGTCGGCTGTTAAAGAATTCGTCAATGTCTGGTGGGCTCGGTCGATTTCAAAACCTGTCCTGGAGTCCTGCGCCAAGGACGCCCTGGAGGTCTGGGAGACAGGGCCCTTGGTAGCCAGGTTCGCCAGCCGATTGCTGCGCTTTTTCTGCAGCTTTCTCGGGCCCGCTGGGATTTTGATGTTTCGAGCATGGCCTTGGTAGATGACCTCCAACGGGAGTGGTCGATAGATCGTTTCTCTCCAAAACTCTTCACGCTGTTGATGCGCAGCTCGGTCGTTAGGGCCATCGAGCGTGGGGAACAGCTGAAGCAGCTTGATCTTCGCGAGTGAAGGGGGCCCATCTTCTGGCAGCCCATCCACCAGTTTCCCCGGCGAAGAGGTTCGGGGGCCTGGGCAAAATCTCATAAAGCTGCGTTGTCGGCTCTTGTAGCCAATGCGTATTGGTGCCAATTGTGCAGAGATGGTAGGGGGACGCTCTACCACCGTAGGTTCCAATACGTTGCATTCTCCTCCTGGTGACGCGAGAACCTGGATACGTTCGGTGCCAAGACTGCTCGTATGATTGGCAATATTTCGGCTTCAGCAAATTAGTTTGCGGATGTTTGCTCCCCAACCCCGCGTCCAGGGTTAAGCGTCCCCCCCGTGACCCGTCCGACCCGTGCACGCTTCACTTCCAGTGGCATCCGGTCGGGCCTCTTTTCATCCCTGAGGACGCTCATGTTTTCACGGACGCCTCGGGCATCGACGGGAAGCTCCCAGGGCAACATTACTACTATTACTATTAATAAAAAATAGTAGTAGTAGTAGTAGTAGTAGTAGTAGTAGTAGTAGTAGTAGTAGTAGTAGTAGTAGTAGTAGTAGTAGTAGTAGTAGCAGTAGTAGTAGTAGTAGTAGTAGTAGTAGTAGCAGTAGCAGTAGCAGTAATAGTAGTAGTAGTAGTAGTAGTAGTAGTAGCAGTAGTAGCAGCAGTAACAGTAGTAGTAGTAGTAGTAGTAGTAGTAGTAATAGTAGTAGTAGTAGTAGTAGTAGTAGCAGCAGTAGTAGTAAGTAGTAGTAGTAGTAGTAGTAGTAGTAGTAGTAGTAGTAGTAGTAGTAGTAGTAGTAGTAGTAGTAGTAGTAGTAGTAGTAGTAGTAGTAGTAGTAGTAGTAGTAGTAGTAGTAGTAGTAGTAGTAGTAGTAGTAGTAGTAGTAGTAGTAGTAGTAGTAGTAGTAGTAGTAGTAGTAGTAGTAGTAGTAGTGTAGTAGTAGTAGTAGTAGTAGTAGTAGTAGTGTAGTAGTAGTAGTAGTAAGTAGTAGTAGTAGTGTAGTAGTAGTAGTAGTACTACTAGTAGTAGTAGTAGTAGTAGTAGTAGTAGTATAGTAGTAGTCGTAGTAGTAGTAGTAGTAGTAGTAGTAGTAGTAGTAGTAGTAGTAGTAGTAGTAGTAGTAGTAGTAGTAGTAGTAGTAGTAGTAGTAGTAGTACTAGTAGTAGTATAGTAGTAGTACTAGTGGTGGGTGGTAGTAGTAGTAGTAGTAGTAGTAGTACTAGTAGTAGTAGTAGTAGTAGTAGTAGTGGTAGTAGTAGTAGTAGTAGTAGTAGTAGTAGAAGTAGTTCTAGCACTAGTAGTAGTAGTAGCAGTAGTAGTAGCAGTAGTAATAAACGTAGTAGTAGTAGTAGTAGTAGTAGTAGCAGTAGTAGTAGCAGTAGTAGTAGTCGTAGTCGTAGCCGCAGTGTAGTAGTAGTAGTAGTAGCAGTAGTAGTAGTAGTAGTAGTAGTAGTAATAGTAGTAGTCGTAGTCGTAGTCGTAGTAGTCGTAGTCGTAGTAGTAGCAGTAGTAGTAGTCGTCGTCGTCGTCGTCGTCGTCGTCGTACTCGTAGTCGTAGTCGTAGTCGTAGTCGTAGTAGTAGTAGAAGAAGTAGTAGTAGTAGAAGAAGTAGTAGTAGTAGTCGTAGTAGTAGAAATAATAGTAGTCGTAGTCGGCGTAGCCGTCGTAGTCGTAGTCGTAGTCGTAGTCGTAGTCGTAGTCGTAGTATCATAAGTAATGGTATTTCTACTCGAATTCGTACGATTATTAGTATTGTTTGTGTGACCAATATTTCTAGTACTACGAATGGTAGTACTATTATCAGTGTTGTTGCTAGTAGTATTAGTATTGCGGTTGCTGCTGTGAGAATTATTGTTGATAGTAGGTGTGCTTGGTATTACTCTTCTCCTCCTCCTTCTTCGCCGCTGCCAGGCGAGGCATCCGAAAGCTCGTTGCCCGAATCGTCTTCTCGATCCCACGAGCCTCGAGGTCGTCCCGGAGGCACCCCGCCCTGCTCAGCGCGTCGAGCAGCGCCTGCCGGGGAGACCAGCAGGCACCGATACCGCTGCTCCCCAGACCTCTCCCCGTGTACGATCCGACTGGACCTTCGAGGCGAACCTGGCCGCGGCGAAGGGGGCCCCCAGGAGGCCCAAGAGATCAACACCGAGGGAAGGGTGGCGGCATCGGTGCCTTCTTGGCGGCGCGCGCAAAGGCGCAGGGGGGGGGGAGGCTTCTGAGGAGCAGGCTGCTTCTTGGAAGGCGCTGGCCTTACACCTATGGACAAGGCCCGCGCCTTCTGAGAAGCAGGGGTGCTTCTAGGAAGCCTTCCCCCCTCCCCTACCCCCCCGTGCGCGTGGCGCGATGTCTTGAGTTGTTCCCTACGGGGTCCGTCTGCCAGGACCGGGGTTTCATCCTGAGCCGTCTCCTGACGGTCCTGGGGCCCGGCGATGAGGGCGAGGCCGAAAGCGGCCGAAGACCTCCCGCCGTGATTCTTCTGCGGCGCGAGCATGACTGGGTTTTCTCGGCGCCAGGCCTGGGGAGGAAGTGAGAAGGAGAAGCCCTTCTCAGAAGGCTCGGAAGTCCCTCGCGCCTTCTGAGAAATCTTCTGAGCCTCCCCCGAGGGCACAGAAAGCTTCTCAGAGGGCGCGAGGGCTTCGGAGAAGCCCCGCCGCCCTCTCAGAAGGCCTCCTCCTTCTCACCTCCCCCCTCTCTCTCGCCGCCGAGTTTCCTCGCCCGATCTGAGCCTGCAGGCACGCGCCCGCCACCACCACCAGCCAGCACGGCGCCCCCGCCGCGTCCTGGCCGAGCGCGAGGCCCTGCAGCCCGGCGCCGTCTGCCGGCACGATGACCACCGCCACGCTGTCCGCCGCCAGCGGGGCGTGCGAGGCCCGCGCCAGGAAGAGGCTGCACAGCGGGGCCGCGCAGCCCTGCACCGGGGGAAGCAGCGGCGACGACGTCGACGACGACGACGACGACGACGACGACGACGACGACGACGACGACGACGGCGACGACGACGACGACGGCGGCGGCGGCGGCGGCGGCGGCGGCGGCGGCGGCGGCGTCCTCCCCCCTTGCTGCTCCCCCTCCCCCCCGCTCCTTCGCCCCCAGGTGCGGCGTCGCGGTTTTCCCGCAGCGGGCGGTCGTGCATTGCTTCAGGCCCTGGGGCCCTCACGAGTCGATGCGGCTCGAGAAGTGCCGCGGAAAGAGGGGGACAAGGGCTCTGGTGGAGTCTCTTGCGGTGTTGAGCTGTCGTCGCGGCGCCGGACCTCAGGGGAAGGGCAAAAGCGTAGAAGCTGTCGGAGCTCCACGCGGGTGGCAGCGGGGGGGGGGGGCCCAGCGCAGGTCCAGTGAAGAAGCCCCCGCGCGGAGCTCCGAAGGCTTATGCGCTGTTGCCCTCTCCCGAGGTCCGACGCCGCGACAGCAGATCAACATCGTAAGGGACTAAGGGACTCAGCCAAACCCCGCGCTGGGCCCGCCGCGCGGAGCGCACTGGGCGGCTCGGGAGGCGCCGCCAGGGAAGGCCCAGTGCGGGTCCGGAGAACTTCGCACGAGC